ACACAACTGAGAAAACAGGAAAACAGCATAACTAGAATGTCTTTTTGTTGGAACCCACAGGGGCATAGGAATAAAGGAAGGCCAAAAAACACACGGAGAAGAGAGCTGGAGAATGAAGTTAGAAAGATGGTGAGGACATGGGGAGAGCTCCATGGAATGGCGAAGGATAGAACCGCGTGAGTTGGTTGAGGGCCTGTGCTCCATTGGGGGATAGAAAAGCAGAAGAAGAAGAAGAAGAAGAAGAAGAAGAAGAAGTACATATTTTTAACGTGTCACAGGTTGTTTTTTTATTAGCACATATTTTTGATGAAGTACGAATTTTTTGAGGAAGTGCAGGTTTCAGGGGCAATACAGTTTTTTTTAGGGAAAAGTGGGGGGGGGGGGGGGTCATTACATGTTTTTTTGGGGAACGCAAGTTTTGAATGTAGTTCAGTTTTTAAAGTAGCCCATGTTGTTGGAACGGTACAGGGTTTTAGATCATTATGGGCATTAGACAGTACAGAGTTTTGGGTCAACACAGTTTTTCCTGCTAGCCTCACAATTTCACAAATGAGCTCTCGATGGTTAATAATAGTCAACATCATACTTGTCGCCTTTACTTTCTTGGGCATATCCTTGTATCCATTTTAACTTTGGTTGATCTGTGAGTTGAGATTAATGATTAAAATATCCACATTATGTCGATTCGAACTCCAGTCTGTTACGCCAGCAAACCGTCGTCTTACAAATGCACCACTGCGGCTGCCCAGATTGATATGAGTGTAAAATTATGGGTCAGTAATTCCTAAATTTATTTGGTCAGCAGCTGTCTTTCATGAAACAAAACAAAAATTAAATAATGTGTTTGGTAGCCCTGTTCCGGAAGTCTAATGTGAAAGGTAAAGTTGGGAGATGTGAACCAGCGTCATTGCACACGGTAATAAACCATAAGTGCTCTGCCACCAGCTCACAAGACTTGTCCGCCTGTGTCGCCGTCGCACGTAACTCTGTAGCAACAGCGACGTTCGTCCATTTACCCCAGAGTGTCAACACTGGTACCCATTTCCTAGAGGCTGGATGAACCCAGGGAACCGCCCAGTTTAAACCACCGACAGTGGGTTGCAGCGAGTCGCAGCTGAATTTGAAAGCGAGCCTCTTATCGACTGCACTAACGCGGACACCGAGCTCTGGAACTCTACTTTGTTTACTCGTATAAACTGGGTACACTAGAGATAGATACAGGAACACTCCTACTGGGCAAGGGAGATATTCTATAGACCATATATGAACGAACGTTGACAGAAGACACAAGCTTAGATGAAAAAACATGTGCAAGAATGTGTGAACGAGGAATTATTAATGGATCCAGAGAGGAAGAGAACGTGTATAATGAGTGTGTTGCAGGAACATTTAGCATCTACACCTTAAGGCAGTTTCTGCGGGAGACAGAGCATCTATACGTGTGCCCCATGTGCTGTGATGTTGATTCCGACATCAGTAATCAGTAGGGGGCTTTGTGTCTCCGATTATCGAGCCACGAAACTCACAGAGGGGAGTTTCATTTTCGGTGTCAATTTGTTTTCCAAAGCAGTGAAGAAATCTGACATTGTGAAAAAGGCACAATCAAGTTTGAAATCGAACATCATTTTTAATTAAAAATAGTAACGTTCACACTGCACATCTGAAATTAAGATCAACATCATCATTTATAACACTACGTGTCGTTAGGTCAGCAGTTTCTATTGAATGTCTGATCAGCTCTCTCCACCTTTGGTGGTCAGTTGCGTTGGACTTCATGGATGCATGCATGAGGCCTCTCCAGTCAAACATGTTGTGTAACCATGTCTTTCTTGGTCTGCTTCTTCTCCTCTTTCATTCTACTGAGCCCTGCACAATTGTTTTTGAGAGGCCGTTGGATCTGATTACATGTCCATTCCATTGTATTTTGCGCCTTTTCACTGTAGTTAAAAGAGGTTCATAGTTGCCAATGTGCTGTATAATTTTATTACGAACTTCTTCGTTTGTTATATGGTCTCTGTATTATATGCCACGACTTTTTCTGAAACATCTCATTTCTAATTAAGATAGCGAGAGAAAATATTAGAATAAAACATCTGAAAGCAATATTAATGAGAAGAATGAACTCGGTGCCTTATTATAAATGTAATAATCGTCTGCTCTTCTTTATTCAGAGGCATTCTGAAATCCCTACATTTGGCTACCTACTGTCGAAGGCTACTACTTTGGAAATTAACTAATCTATCCAAAGTGCCCCAACGATCACCAGTGGCTACTAAACCCTATGACCCAGGCCCTCCCCCTCAAAACCACTACCATTTCAGATCCCTTTCTCCTTCTGCCACCCCTCCTCCTCCCTCCACCACCCCGTGAGGATATAACATACTGTAAGATACTATAATAACCTTCCATATTAATATATCTGATCACAAAGGGAACTCTACATCTCTGCTGCTGCCATAAACTCTTGCTCCTGGGGATCAAAGCCAGCCACCTCTCCTTGTGAAATCACCTCATTTATAGTCTCGGCTTTTATAGTTCTGCACGAATTTCTTTACCTAATGTTAATTGTGTGTGTCTTTTTAATTACAGTTTCGACACTCTTCTCTCTCCGTTTCCCTTTATTTCTCATATGTTTCGTTGTACGTGTGCACATCTCTTCGTTATCCCCCTGTGAGCTTTTATTTCCCAGAGGAATAATGTGTTTAGTGTCTTTATAATATAGCCCCCCTGCCCCCTTTTATCCCCCTCCAATTCAGTGCATTGACAGAGAGTTTTAGCAAGCAATGCAGTGTCATTAGCCCGTCTGTCCAGATGAAAGTGTTATCTTGTGTTATTATGATGTAAACCAAAGCCAATGGCGACGGCGAGTACAACTATCAAGGGCCGATCACGTTAAGAAAAGTCTTCAACAATTACAAAGGGATTTCAGGACCCTGCTGCCGATCCAAAATTCAACTTTTGTAATTTATTTCAGTAACGACAGAAGTGATTTTTTTTTTTTCGTTTAGTCCAAATGAAACAGTGTATTTGCAATTAATTGTACAAGTAAACATTGCAAACCAAGTTCAGTTTGAAGTCAGCTTGTGCAACCTATACAGTGACACACAACTCCAAGACATTATTAAGGTTTTTGAGGTTTTAGAACAATGGATCATCATCTTGGTTTACGGTTGTTCTTCTAACTCAAGTCTGAGTCCGAAGAAGCTCAGCACAGTGCACAGACTCTGTAGCACTGGCGAGGTTTCTGAAATATTTCAGGTATATTTTTAACTCAAAATTAGTTATGCTACTTTTTTCGATTTCCAACTGCTAAGGGATTTTTTACGTGCTTAACAATGCACACGGGCGTCCGATCTCACTACCCAGAGACCAGGGGGAAATTACTAGAAGTCTACGTGAAAAAATCTTAGCACTTACCGCAGATTAAACCCCAAACCTCTAACACTCGAGGCAAACACCCCGCGAGCATCCAGCCGCTACAAAGTGCTACCATGAGGATAAGGATCACCCGTGGAGAGGTCCCGGAAACCCCTTTCAGCCGTTAGGTCATATCTATGGTTAGGCCATATCTATACCCCGGCAATAGTTATGGCCCCCGGAAGAAGCCAGGGTGGGGCTTCAGATAACGAAAAATTGCATCCCACATGGCGATGACTAGAAAATATAACCTATGCTTCTCAATGTTCATCTCGGTCAATTTCCAGCTCTACCTTTCACCTGTTCCCTTCACATTTCTTTCCCGCACTGTAAAACACAAATTCCCCATTCTGTGTTGGTGGCCTGAAAGATTCATAACCCATAACGCAAAGAACCACTATCGGATGCAATCCCAGAATAAAAATGTTTGTCAGTGTAAAAGAGTTATATTGGTGCACTGTAATGCTACAAACTGAGGAAATGTATTTGAAATATACCACAGGGAATAATGCATAAAATAACTGATCACACTAAACAAAAGCCAATGATTGTAAAGCAAACATAATACATTATCATTCTGTTAAGGTTTTGGTGTAATCTCCAAACTACCTATACACGAGCATTATCGGCTAATACGATTGAATTGAAGCTGATCATCCATTGGGTTCCCCAAAACCTCTGCCTCCGTCAATTTTCAGATTCTCACCTGTGATAAAACCAGCCGCATCTGATGCCAGAAAAGCCACCGCTTCTGAAACATCCTCAGGCATTCCCAGCCTTCCCTTCAGCATACACTTGGTGCTCTCTATCTCCGCCCTACTTTTGGTAATCGCGTCCACGTCGCCATCAAGAAACCGTAAAATTCTGGTGGGGATAAAACCTGGATTCACCGAATTGACACGGATTCCTTTCGATCCCAAATCTACCGCAAGACAACGAGTCAGATGGTCAACAGCAGCTTTAGAGATGGAGTAGACAACCCTTGTTGTTCTTGTCAACGTACTAGAAATAGAAGATACGATAATTATATTGCCTTTTGTTTTCGCTAGATGAGGAACAGCTTCACGTATCAGAAAGAAAACGGATTTTACATTACTGTCCATAATATTGTTTTATGATTCATCCGTTGCGTCAGAGAGTGAGCAATTTGCATTAGAAATTCCAGCATTCGCTACCAAAATATCCAAACGCCCAAATTTGCTAACGGTCTGGTTAACAACATTCTCTCGAACCTTCTGGTCGTTTAAGTCACCCCGGACTGTTATGAACCTTTCTGGATGTCCACCGCTGGTTTCTACAGCCTTTTCATAAACAGACTTAAGCCTTTCTTCGTCCCGACCACACAGAGTGACGCTGGCCCCTCGAGCAGCAAACAAAATGGCGATGGCTTCACCAAGTCCCGAACTGGATCCTGTTACTATGGCGACTTTACCGTTCAGCTGAAATGCCATTGTTGCAAAGTGTTTGCGTAAGAGTTCCTGAAATTAAAAAAGAAATTGAACAATTAAAACATGTTAAAAGCTATGAAATCACTTGTTATGAGATAAGCATTTATTAACTAAACTGCAAACAACAGTCACTGCACTACAACAATATATAATTTTTTTCACTTTTTTAAGGACTTGAACCAGACAAACAAACATAACTAAACTTTAAACAAAGCTTAAAACAGAAGTAAAGTGTCCTTATTTCAGACATTACCTGACAACGTAGTGAGGTGATTACTTAAGAAGTCTACGAGTAAACTGAACACGAATGTGCAAAGTCACAGCAGTGCTTAATCAGACACAACGTGGAAGATTACACCTGCAGTACTTGCACACATAAGAAAAGTACCGGCCCTGCAATAGAATGGAAACCCCAAAGTCGCCAGAACATGGCAGCTCTCGGGGCACCTTAAGCCTACTAAGAAACATATCGCAGGCAGGTGGGCTCCGTACAACCCCCACCCCCCCCCTTTTTTCCCACCTCCTATGCTGCCCTCCATACCAACATTGTCTGAAGTTCTCTTTTTTGTGTTTTTATGTATACCGATATTATTGCATCTCTGAATGAATTTCAGAGCCCAAGGTGTTGTAGACCCACTACTCCTTAACAAGCATGTGGTAGCAGTGGAATAATAATGGATGATTCCACTGGAGTCAGAGCTAATCTGCTTAAGAGGCGAGGAAGTAACATTTATATAAAAATAATATAGATGTTGTATACTGGATCTTTTGTATGCTCCTCACAATACATTGTATAAGGGATCTTCTATTTACTCTTTACATCACGTTGTATAAAAGATCTTTTGTATGCTCTTTACATCACGTTGTATAAAAGATCTTTTGTATGCTCTTTACATAACGTTGTATAAAAGATCTTTTGTATGCTCTTTACATCACGTTGTATAATTGATCTTATTTATGATCTTTACATTACGTTTTAGAACTGATCTTTTTTTATGCTCTTTACATTACTCTGTATAACTGACATTCTGTATGCTTTTTACAATATGTTGCATTAGGGATCTTCTGTATGCTCCTCTCTATAATTAATCTTCTGTGTGCTCCTCCCAATACGTTGTATTAGGGATCTTCTGTTTTCTCTCTACGATACGTTGAATAACTGATCTTCAGATTGCTCTTTACAATACGTTGCATTAAGGATCTTCTGTATGCTCTTTATAATACTTTGTAAAAGGGATCTTCTGTTTGCTCTTTACATAACGTTGTATAATTGATCTTATGTATGATCCTCACAATACGTTATATAAGGTATCTTCTGTATGCTTTTTACAATACTTCTATAAGTAATCTTCTGTATGCTCTTTGCAATACGTTCTATAAGTAATCATCTGTATGCTCTTTTGCAATACGTTCTATATGTAATCTTCTGAATGCTCTTTAAAATACGTTCAATAAGTAAACTTTTGTATGCTCTTAACAATATGTTGTAGAAGTGATCTTCTGTATCGTCTTGACAATACGTTGTAGGAGTGATCTTTTGCATGGTCTTGACTATACGTTGTACAGTTTGGTCTATACTGCTATATTCTGCTCTTCTACGTGGTTCCCCCTCCCCTCGTTGTATTTTTTGTTGCTCTGTGTTAATTATATTTCTTCAGGGCGGCTCACTGGGTCAGCTGTTATCCAAGGTTTAATCGACTCCCACTTGACACGGCTTTCATCAACCATATTATTCTTCTTTTTACAATCCATACCCTGTGGAGTTGGCAGCCGTGTCAATCCACAAGTTTCTGTCTGTAGTTTCAATCAGTTCTGACTATTTACCTATTCAAAACAACCCGAAGACAGACAAGGATAACGCGAACAGGCGCCTGCAGGAAGCGACTGAAATGTGAGAGACTCAGCTTAAAATATGTTCGCGTTCTCTACTGGAACTGCGCTTCGTTTAGTCAACGCCGACCCATTTTTGAGAAGCTCCTCTACAGCAACGACATTGTTGTCCTACAGGAAACACACCTCGTTAAAATTGCGGGCTTCCAATCCTTCTACAATAGACGGCACCTCGGACAGCTTATTCTTGTTCGTGACCACATACCGGTGTCTGAGGTGGACATGTCTGAGTGGAATAATGACGACTTACAAGTACACGCAGTCAGAGTGTTGGGCCCGGCCCAGTTTGTGATTGTCAATGTGTACGCCTGCAATGGAAAGGTGGATACAGCGAAATGGCAGAGTTAGCTCCAGACGAAGGAAAAGAAAGTCCTTTACTGCGGAGATTTCAACGCCAGAGGAAACCAGTGGGGCAATGTAATCACTAATAAACTGGGAGAAGACCTGGAGGATGCCCTAGTGTCTGCCGATCTAGTATGCTTGAACGACGGAAAGGTTTCACGAATAGCAACCCGACAAGGGGATTCTGACAGCAAAATTGACCTGGCCCTAGTGTCTCCCTCCATTGCACCAGGATGCAGGTGGAGCACACTGGGATACCAAGACAGTGATCACTTTCTTTGCGTCGTCCTGGTGGAGAAGAGCAACAACAAAGGTCATGTAATCAATGTGCCTGCTTTTATATATGACCGTACAGGGCAAGATGCCATTAGCAAAATCAAACGGAGTAAAACAAGAGCAGATCGCGGACGGCGGGAGAGATGGACCCAGCCACCATAGTGGAATGAAGTAGTCAACTAGAAAAAAAGGAAAGCTGTCAAGGCATGGCAAAAGGAAAGGAAAACTGATCCGTCACTTTCTGAACGCCTAATCAGTCTGAAAGATGAGGTCAACAAGCAGACAATAGCTTTCAAGTTAATTGCGAAGGAAGCCAAGACAGCGGAATGGAACGAATTCTGCAAGAGCCTTTGCTCCGAGGGATCTCTTGTGACATTCTAGCGCCTTTAACGGAGCATGCACGGCGCCGCACGACTAAGGGGTATCCCTGATTTTCAGGGTACAGACCTGATATGGCAGAGAACTGATGCTGATAAAGGAAGAACCCTTCTCGTGCGCTACTTGGAGCAAACTGACCAGAAAGACGAAGCTTCAAGAATAGGGGTTAAGATGAAACTGTCGATACTATGCGAGAACACTAATTTTCACTTACAATCACTGCAGATACCTTAAGAACTTGCCTCAGGAAATCGAGCAGCACTGCTCCAGGCCCTGACGGCATCGGATACAATACATGCTGATGATGTCGAATGCTGATTTGAAAAGCGTTTCAAAGGAATTCACTATCAGCATTCAGAGTGGCCAGATACAAGAGGAATGGCTCCATAGTTACTTGTTCCCACTACCAAAGCCTAATAAAGACCACTCAAAGATCTGCGGCTACAGAATCATTTCGACGCAGAATACTGTTGGCAAACTTTTGGAAAAAATCGTCGCACGAAGATTGACCACCTACTTGGAACTACTTGATAAGTTCCCATCAACACTTGGAGGGTACAGGTTGAATAAAGAGACATGGTTTAATGCTGCAGATTTCGCCTACGATGTTTACGAAGGATTTCATGTTAAAGAAGAGACATGTGCGGCAGTGTTGGACTTAGAAGATGCCTACAATAAAGTACCATATGAATTTATAATGCAATTACTGCTTAAACTAGAAGTAAATCCTATTCTGATCCTCTGGATTGCTGCGGTCCTGTTCCAGAGAAAGATAGTACTAAGATGTGGTAGCTGGTCCTCAGAACCGTAAACGATATGTCCAGGCTTGCCACAGGGATCACCGCTATCACCAATCTTATTCAACGTTTATACGGTGATGATCACTGAGCAGCAGTTAAATGGAAAGGGAAGGACTTTGTCATTTGCTGATGACATTTTGATTTATCGACGAGGGCGTTATAGACAGGGGATCGCCAGCACAATGCCCAAAGAACTCGATCGAATTGCAGCCTGCTGTGATGGTTCCAATGCCTATATCAATTCTTCGAAGGCTTCAGTGTTATGGTTCTCTTTGAACAATCACATTGTCAAGTCCGACTTACCAGAAGTGAAAATGTATTGATCTGAACAAACGTTAAGACGTTTCTCGGGGAGAGGTTCGATCGCAGCTTGTCATTCTGGGAACACGTTGACCATGTGATAACAAAAGCACGCAAAGGTCTATCTGCAATGAGGATTATGGCTGCTTCTAATATCAGCGGGTAAGAGGCGCCATAACCTCTCCCCCCTGCTGCCTTGTTGGTTAAGTCTCTTTAGACAAAGGCTATTGGAGTCAAACCATATACAAACCGGCGAAAGGCAAAAGGAAACCACCGCTGTACTTTCCCTAGTAAATCATGCCTCAAGAAGAGGATATGCAGACACAAACACACACACACATGTTTATATACAAACCTGGAACCAACGGTGATGGAGGGTACGGTTTCAGAAGAACGAGGTAGAGGCCGACTTCCACGGTGGTGGCTACAGGACACTGAGGATGCACTGGCTAAGAAAGCACACAGGGCTGCAGAACTGGCTAGAGAAAGAGTCTAGGCATGCCGTGAAGAAAGCGACCTTCTGTAAATGACAAGCTTATATGTATGTAGTATACATAAACATACATATATATACAAACAAACATACATATATATATATATCTAGCTCATGTCCTATATATATATATAGTATATATATATATATATATACATATATATATTATATATATATATATAATTACAATTATGAATAAGGAAATGGGTTGCTTATTTGGTGCTCCAGACACTCCATGTGTGTTCATATATCCCATTCAACATTTGCATCAGTGTCCCTCTGTTAACAATGCGAATGTTTTTGATAATTTGTACACGCTTTACTTTTTACATGCTAAAGTAAGTATATATAATTATTGTCATAACGATGTCTTTTGTCTAGCTCATGTCCCCTTACCAGTATCACATTTATGTATTTACAAGTGTTGTAATAAATTGTTACAATTCTGAAAGAATGTTTTCAAGTAGTGCCTGTCTGAAAGACGTTTTTTTCGATGTGATCAAGTGTGCGTGAAACTGTTTTTTCTTTGTGTTGTTAATTATTTAGCCACAAATTTGACACTATCCTAAATGTATGGTGCCCTGTTTTGTCAATGCTGACTAACTTGAAAATACAGAAAAATCTGGTTAACAGCAAATCAAGAGTTCCTGTAACAAAATGTGTGTTAACAGAGGACCAATAATATTACGTCCCTATGGGAACCATCATTATGTCCATGCGAATCTAGTGATGGGGGAGGGAAGAGGGGGGCAGGGGAGGGTTGACTGTTAAATAAAAGAGCTTCAATTTCTTTTTAGTCTCGGTGGACACGGATTCCAAGGTCAGTTAAAAATCGTCATGTGATGAATTTCAAATCCTTCGAAGAGGGATAGAGGATTATTCGGTGGATGAGGGGGAGATGGATGCGTTAATGACAGTCAGTGATAACTGGGAGAGCTTAAAACATTATATTAAAGTTCTCTTTTTCTTTTTATTTCCTAATATTTCGAAAACGCTTCCGTTGCTGTCGGCGTCTATGGCTTAGGCATTGAGAACGTGCTTCGTAATGCCGGGGTGCTAGGTTTGACCCCAGCTGAGGGTCATGTGCCTTGTGTTGGTTTCAACAGTGGTATTTTGAAGCCGACCTTTCAGAAAGCAATAACAAACTACTGGACGTAAATCTGCCTTAAAAAACAACACAACAGCCCAAAACTGCTGGGGTTGGTTCTGCAACGTCTTGTAAAGGACGCACAACTAACTAACTTCCGCGGCCTTGTTGTTGTTGTTGTTGTTGTTGTTGTTGTTGTTGTTGTTGTTGTTGTTGCGAGTCTGTCCGTCATTTGGAAATACTTTACTTAGCTTTTCTTTAAGTTACTTTCAACAACAAAAAAATTTAAGCATGTATTACAAGAGGGGATTTGACTGATTGTCGACGCTCAGAGGAAAGGCGAGACGGACAAACATCAGAATGCTACTGGCATTATTGGTATTGGAACTTTGCGCTGACTGCTGTCGATGGGGACGTAGCACTTTTGGGAATGCCCAGAGTGCTAAAATGTCGGTTCTTTTATAAACTCAACTCAGCTGATAACAATTTCACACGATATTTAAAATAAGACACATTTTAACTAATGAAAAACAGAAGTTTCACAGGAAAATGAAACAAAACAGTTTGATATGGTTTGTAAAACCGATTTATAAAATGTGTGTGAACAGAACACCGTATAGACAGAATAGCTACTTAATTGATACTTTAAAGCTTTATCTGCAATTATGTTTCCTTTCTGCTTTACAGATATTTAAAATTCTCACACAAGCTATAGGAACTCACTAAATATCACAACTTCTATAGTGTCAGGCTGCCAAGTCGCAAAAGTACACGTTTCGTTTCGGTATTTGAAATTACAGCTACCCTCTGTTATGGATTCGCAATTCAAAGACAAAGTTGCTATAGTAACTGGTTCCAGCTCTGGTATAGGAGAAGCCATTGCTGTTATGTTTGCTTCCAGAGGTGCAATGGTCACCTTGTGCGGTCGGAACCTAGAGAGACTGACCACTGTGTTTGAAACTGTTGTCGAAATCGGCGGTGGACACAAGGATCGCTTTCTTATCGTTCAAGGGGATATTAACGACAACGATGTTAGAACGCAGATCATATCTAAGACAATAAATGCATTTGGGCGCTTGGATATTCTGGTAGCTAACGCCGGGGTTTCGACCATTGGTCAGCAGATATCAACTGCTACAGACGAAGACTACAATATTATCATGGACACAAATCTAAAGTCCGTCTTTTTTCTTATACAACAAGCGATACCGCATCTGGAAAAGACCCGGGGAAATATTGTTAATATCTCTTCTGTGACAACGTACACAGTCCAGCCTGAACTTATAATATATTCACTGGCAAAAATTGGTCTAGATCATCTGTCAAGAATACTGGCAGCAGAACTAGGGCCAAAAGGTATCAGAGTAAATACGGTAAACCCTGGATTTATACCAACTCGAATTGTTCGATTTTTAGGCCAGGAAGCAGGCGCGTTTAACAGTCAAACTGTTTTAGGTGAGCTTCGACAACAAGCTTGGAAGACCAGAACTGGAACGGTTGTAGATGTAGCCGAGTTGGTCTCATTCCTTGCTTCCGAGGCGGCTTCTTTGATCACGGGCCAGAGCATTAAACTTGATGGTGGGAAGTCTTTAGGCCGCCCGTCTGAATAACTGCCAAACGTATGAATTTGCCTAAAGTTACACACTCATTATTACAGCTTCGTTAACAGGAGTCATAAACTAGTAACATTTCACAAATTTGCGCTATATTAACACTGTACCATTTTTGTTTACATTTCTTTCTTCTTCTTCTTCTTCTTCACTTCCTCTTTTACCGCTGTGGGTGTCGAGGGAGATATAAGGTCCTGTTTCTATGCCTCGACCATAGGCACATCGTATGTTGTAGAGTTTCTCTATATCCTTCCATCTTGTTCTGATCTACCCGTGCTCTACGCCCTTCTTCTCTTCTCATGTATGCTTTGTATGGTATGGTGTCACAAGGCATCTAAGTCATTTCACTTGCTGTCTTTGTATGTAATCCAGAATTGGTTCTGTGCCGACTTGTTCTCTTATGATCTCATTTCTGATCTTATCACATTCGGGTCACCCCGAAACGTCCTGGCCAACGGGGCTCTGGTGAAGTTGCGACAGGCCTAGCAAGCCGGCAATGGATTTTTTACCGCTACAAAAATTCAAATGAGATATAAACATTTCTTTCAGTGTCTTTAAAACGACAATCGTGATATTGCTATGGATACCTTTACTAGTGATCTCATTAACTATGTCACAATTGAGGTCAGCAGATCTGTCTTAGGTTGTGAACATTTCTCACGTTAACGTTTAACGGCCTACCAATACCTACCTGCATATGTGAAACAGTCTCATTATGAAATATTATGGGCTTCATCTGAGCTTTATATTTGTATAGAAAGTGCTGACTAATGCGTGGCATGCAAATGTGTTCATTGTAAAAACGCGTACCGCAGATAAACCATTTTCCCAGCAAAATGCGTAACATTATATTTTACCTCACGTAACGTACTTTTAGAAAGAAAAAAAAAACACACATTCCGTATCAGGTCACATCTTATATTTTACACGTAACGTACTTTTAAAAAAAAAAACATTCCGTATCAGGTCACATCTGTTATTTTACAGTCTGTAGACAAATAATGAATATTTTGGTGTACTGTGTGATCGTTGTTTTTTTTTTTTTCAATTTATGGTGATAACATGCGCTTGAATTCGTTTTTGTTTTCGTGTCAACACCAACAGTCAGTTAAATGCTGACCCAGTACTTTCATGGCCTTGCCGTATCGCTTAGGCCTTTTCTTTTTTAACAAGAGCTCTGTAGTGTGAGTTTGGAAAATCCAGTACATCTTATTACATTATTTTAATCTGCGGATTCATAACCAAGCTTGTGGGTTCTTTTTATTCTTGGACATTGAAGACGTTGGAGACAAGTACGACTGGTCTGCTGCTAGAGTGTATTCCAGGACCGGACATTTAACACAAGGCTTCTTGTTAAAGTTCTTTCCAAAATTGCTTCACAGCTCAACGATAAGGTTGCCATTTTAACTGGGTCTAGTGCTGGTTTGGGCGAGGCTATTAATCTTCTCTTTGCTTATAGGGGTGCCAAGGTGACTCTGTGCGGTCGATAAACAAGACAGGCTGAAGTCAGTGCTGGACAAAGCAATGATGGTCAGTTGTTGTCATCAAGATAGATTCATAACAGTTTCAGGTGACTTAAATGACGCGAAAGTTCGTAACGAAACACTTGAACAAACCGATAATTAGTTTGGTAGGTTGGACAATCTTGTGGCTAACGCTGGCATTGTTGGCGATTTCAATTCATAGATTTTCGATACCAATTTGAAGACAGTATTTTTTTTTATCCAACAAGCGATACCACATCTGGAGAAAACCAAGTGAAAATTTTGTTAATATTTCGGCTCTTGCTTCACTTATGGTCGTTTCATCAATAATGACATATTCGTTGTCAAAAGTGGCTCTCGACCATCTAACCAGGTCCCTGGCAGTCGAGTTGGGATCTAGGGGTATAAGTGTGAATTTGGTCAACTCTGGATGTTTTCCAACACTTATCATGAAACATCTTGGCGATCCTGAAGCTATTCATCTCAAAATCGTCCACCGCAGAAGAAGCGCAAGTGCCATAACAAGGCAGAGCAAGGGTTGCAGAAGATGTGGTTGAGGCGGTAGCGTTCTTATTGTCAGATGCTGGGGGTTTTTATCACTGGTCAGCTCCTCAAAGTTGACGGAGGCCCATTCAAACATTCGAATGAAAAACAAGAACACCGAACTCCATAGCATATAAAACATCCAATCATCACTTCTGCACGAATTTTGGTAGCCGCAGGAAAATATACTCTTTAACAAAATTGAACGCATAGTTAACCGATGACGCGGTTTTTATTAGTTTGTAAGTCATTTTGTTTTAAAAACTATTGTCTGTGAAAAGCAGTCGTGGTATAGAGGCTAGACACACGCTTGCGGATCGGAAGGTTGTGTGTTCTAATCCTGGTGGAACAGAGCTTTCTTCCCAAATGACCTCGGCACCCAGGTGGACCCAGTCTTGAGTCGGTACCAGGTGCAGTCCTGGGAGGTAAGGGCGGCAGGTCTGATACGGACCAAGTGCCGTTTGGTCTATAAAATATACATCTAGCCCTATATGCCCAATACGCCTGAAGGCCTGGAAAAGGGTCCTTTACTTTCTTTCTTTTTCTTTTTATGTAAAAAAAAAAAGACTAAAATGCGGACCGGTATTGTTTACAGGGTTAAATGCATATTTTCGAGTGAACTGAGTGAGTTTTGTGTTATCGTTCAGTGCAGTGGTCGGTTGTGTTTATGGCTATATGTGTTAGCGCAACTCATGATGCCCGCACGGGAAAGCAATGAAGTTTAGGGTGAACACTCTTAGGGTGCACACTCTTAGGGTGAACACTCTTAGGGTGAACATTCTAAGGGTGGACACTCTTAGGGTGAACATTCTTAGGGTGAACATTCTTAGGGTGAACAGTCTTAGGGTGAACACTCTTAGGGTGAACACTCTTAGGGTGAACATTCTAAGGGTGGACACTCTTAGGGTGAACACTCTTAGGGTGAACATTCTAAGGGTGGACACTCTTAGGGTGAACATTCTTAGGGTGAATATTCTTAGGGTGAACAGTCTTAGGGTGAACACTTTTAGGGTGAACACTCTTAGGGTGAGCATTCTTAGGGTGAACACACTTCACTTACTACTTCAACTGAAGCCTTATAAAAAAATTAACGTCACACTAAATAATTCATTTCACTTTAAAACACACATATGACATCTCTATGGATATATTTGAAGAACATTGCTATTGGCCGACTACAGGCAGGCAAAAGTCAAATTCAGGTTGCCGGGGCATTTAAACGTGTGTCAGAGTACCACTGGTCGTGTTTGAAACCGGCTCCAAGCCACTGGCTTAGTTGAAGATCGACATCGCAGTAAACAACCCAGAGTGACAACAACAGCAGAAGATCACTTTATTCGGCTTCGTTCCCTCAGAAACAGGATTACAACAGTTTTCTCAACTGTGCAGTCATTGCCTTCACGTGTCTGACCAAACTTTTCGAAATTCCCTGCATGACGCTGGACTTTGGGCACAAAGACCTTAAAGAGAACGTGTGTTTACATGCCGCCATCGCCAAAATAGACTCTTTTGGGCATACCGGCTTCATCACTGGCGAGCTGATAATCAATAGAGGCGTTTCCGTTTTAGTGGTGCCCACTGAAGGTCGCTTGAAAGCGCAACGATACTTCAGTGAAAGTTTTCCACATTTATGTCCTTCTTTTTTTAGATGCCGAAAGGTCTGACCCTATTCTTCACGTGTGACTATGCCAACAAAATTATCACCCTTGGCTAGCTAACCCTGTCTGCAGACTTGAGTCCGACTGAGCATCTGTGCGATGAGCTGCTTAGAAGAGTTTGTTGCCGAGACTCTTGCTCCAGCTAATGGTCGTGATCTGTACCAGGCACTTCAGATAGAGTTCGAAGCCACCCCTAAGGATCACATCCAACGTCTGATCGCATCCATGCCGAGGAGATGTCAGTCGATAGGTAACGCCAGAGAAGACCACACACCACAAAAAACTCGTAAGATTAAAACTTATGGATTACACAGATGCAAAATTAATTAGTTGAATCCTAAGGTATTCTTGTCTGCAGTTTAACCAATTTCACTCATTAAATTGCAACGATCTTGAATGTCAAAATTGAGACACTGTATGTTTTTCTTTTCGATAGTTATGCGTTCGTTGTGTGTGTGTGTGTGTGTGTGTGTGTGTGTGTGTGTGTGTGCGTGTGCGTGTGTGTGTGTGTGTGAGTGTGTGTGGAAGTATATTTATGTTTCTTTTTTTTTTTTCATTTCTATTGTAAGACCTTCGAAACTGTTATAGTCAGTACGACACCTAAATCCAGTGTCCACAGTCATGCTTATCATCCCCTGCTTTTTCTTCTAAGAACCGTACCCCCTACCCCCCCCCCCCCCCCCCCCCCCCCTCTCTCCCCGGTCTTTGTCTTCCACCAACTATATTGAAAATTCATATAGCTGAAATAGATCAGTAAAAGAGAAACGATACTGGTTAGTTCAGTCTTCTTCTTCTTCCAGTTCCAGAACCTAACGGTTGCGTGTGCGTCCGTTTTACATATCGAAGTCATTTGTATGCAGACTGTTGGTTACTTGCCTCAGGCAGATGCACTCCGGCTTCGATAAAAGCTCCCAATTAGTTAACTCTTACGACATGCTTTAGGGTAGGCAGTGTGTCTACTCTTGTTGTCCCTATAACAGGGCCCCAAAGCCTACATGGGGACAGTCCTCCTCGATATTCATGTCCTTATGAATGTCAGTATGTTTCCAGTTCTGGATCGTTTGTACTCTAAGATGGTTCCTGTAACATTTGTCCTCACCGCTTGTCATAAAATATAATAATATGTAAAAGTAAAGATCCTTTTTCACGCGTTTAGGCTCATTGTTCATATGGAAAGAGCACCCATATTTTTACAGACCAATCGGCACTAGGTGGCTAATGTGGTCAGCATTACGCCGGCAGGCTTTACTTCCCCAGGACACGTATTCTGGTACCCATTTTAGGCTGGGTCGACCTGCCACGCCCCATACCATGA